TAACAAATATAAGATATCAGTCCAAGAAAAAAAAAAGATTTCAAATATGCCAACTACTCCATAGCTTCCTGGCTATCAGATCTTGGGCAACGTATTTGAAACAAGTGGCACCATTTCCTGGTGCTTGAAAGTTAGTATCACTTAGGGCAGGCTTAGTGCTGTGGGCTATGCAGGCAGACAGGCCAGGGCTGGTATCCTGCTTCCAAAATATCTACCGTGTGATCTCGAGCAAGTTATTTAACTTCCCTGTGGCAAATTATTCATCTAATATGAGAGTTATAATAGCACCTACCTGTGGAGTTTTTTTGAAAATTAAATGAGATAAAATGTGTTAAAAGTAAAGTCAGATCAGGTCTCTCCTCCAGAGACTTCTTATCTTGCTAAGAATCCAAGCTGGAGTCCCTCCAGGGCCCGTCGGCTCCTCCATGACCCTTGTCTTCCTCGCCCCTCTGGCCTTATCTCCCCTATGGGCCCCACACACACTCCACCCCAGCTGCCCTCACAACCACTTGCTGGCCCTCAGACACCTCCAACTCTTTACTCAAATGTCACCTTCTCAGTAGTTCCCTCCCCAGATGACCATACAACATCTCACCCACATGCCTGCCCTCGCACACCCCTCCTCCCTACCTTATTTTTCTACAAGTCCCTGACAATGCATGAGCTCTAGTGAGAGAAACTGAGAGACTGGGAGACAGGTGAGAGAGAGGCTTTCTTTTTTTTTTTTAAATAGTGGATTTAAATGTGCATGCATTACCTATTTAAAAGTAAAATATTTTAAAATGTGATGAACCCCCAAAAGAAGCCTCATGACCTTTCTAGGTATTAACCATATATAAATAAAGGCAAGGAACTATATTATAAATACTTGATAAATCTAAGTAAAAGTTTAAAATCTCCATGTCAAAACATATCATTTTTAAGGTAAAAGTAGAAATGAGGAAAATTTCTCATTCCTTAGGTTTAACTCCAGAGTCAGTGTTTTCATTATGAAAAAGTGAGGAAAATGTATGTAGCATATGTGACAGTTGAAGTTTAATATCTTTAAAATATTAAGAGCCTATTTACTAATCCAGAAGAAAAATATAAACACCTCCAAACAGAAAAACAAGTAAAGAATACAAGTGAACAGGCTACTCACAAAAAGAGAAATACAGTTGACCAATAAATATACCAAAAAATGTCCACTCTTGCCAAACTTTAAAGAAATGTAAATTAAAACAAAATAACATATCCCACCTATTAGATTAGCAAATAATGAAATAATACCTTTTACCCAGAAATTCTATCTCTATAAGTTTATCCTAAGGAAATTAGCATAAATGTGGGGAAATTTTTGTCTAAAGGATAAAATTCCTAATTAAAAAAAAAAATCAGCAACAGCCTGACTGTTCAACAAGAGGAGATTGATTAAATAAATGAAGGCTTAGCCATCCTGTGTAATAAAATGTAGCCATTAAAATAGTGATCAGGGCTGACCCAGTGGCGTGTTGGTTAGCAGTTGGCTTGGGACACCAGCTCTGAACAGCGGTTCAGATCCCACATTAGGGCCAGTGATGCTGCACCCTCTACAGCAAAAATGGTGAACAACAGCTCAACCTGGAGCTGGGCTGCCATGAGTTGCCGGTGATAGCATAAGCTGCAGTGGAGCTGCAGTGGGATCCGGTAAGCTATCGTGAGCGGCCAGCGGCCAGCATGGGCTGCGAAAAGCCGTTGTGAGCGGCCATCCAGTGAGCGGCCGTCCAGTGACCAGCAACCGATCTGCCTCACCTGGGAAGAGCGCAATGATAATATCAACACGGGCCACTGAAGTGACGTCCTCCACAACTAGACTGAAGAACAAAAGGACAGCAACTTCTCTGTTTCCCTTTCCCCAATTCCCCAACTTTGTTCCCCTCCCTTAATTCCCCAATAAAATTAAAAAAAAATAGTGATCAGACCCATATTTATTTATTTATTATTTATAAAGGTTTATTTTTTTATTTTATTTTTTTAAAATTGGGGAATTGGGAGAGGGGAACAGTGTTGGGGAATTGGGGAAAGGGACCAGCTAAGTTGTTGTTCTTCAATCTTTGTTGTGGAGAGTGCCAGTCGCCATCTGGCCGCCCGTCGGCAGCTTGTGGCCTCTAAGCTCAAGGTGCTGTGTTACAATCTTAGTTGTGGGTGGACGTAGCTACCATCCCATGCAGAAGTTGAACCAGCAGCCTTGTTCTTAAGAGCGCATGCTCTATCCACTAAGCCATCCAGGTGGCAGCTCAGCTCAAGGTGCTGAGTTCAGTCTTAGGTGCGGGTGGATGTAGTGCACCATCGAACAGGCAGTCTTGTTAGGAGCATATGCTCTCACCAGCTGAGCCATCCTGCCACCTGTTGGCAGCTCAGTGGCAGCTCAGCTCAGGCGCAGAGTCACTGGCCCATGTGGGAATCAAACCGGGGACCCTGTTGCTCAGAGTTTGTGCTCTTAAGCTAACTCCTAACCAACTGAGCCACTCCACCGGCCTGAGACCTATATTTATTGATAGGCAAGAATGATCATAGTATTGCTAAATGAATATAACAATATGCTATAACTTGTGTATAACAATAGGTGCGATATTCCACCTTGGGAAAAAGTGCATAGGATTTTTGTCTCTCCTAAATGAAATTATACCTAGAAAGCTCTTAAAAGAAATCCTCCAAGATACTGACTATGGCTGTCTTGGCAGCATTTTTCCTTTTGCTTATCTCTGTTCACTCTTTTTTGACCACACATATGGACTGTGTGCATGTGCGTGTGTGTCATAAAAGTAAATAAATAAATTTTAAAAAATTAAAATTAAATAAATAAATAAATAAATAAAACAATAAGGCTTGTTCAGTCTTTTAAATGAAAGTTGAAATAGGATCCAAACCAGGCAGGTTTGGACAAAGCCGGCTGCAACGCATCTAGAAAATTCTTCTTATTTTGTTTTCCTTCCTTCCCAGTCTAGGTAGGCTGCACTCACATCTGCTCACAACATCCCTGCACCATCACAAGCCACAGATTGTGTTCTGGGACAGGGGGCTGGTAGGGACAACCTTCCTGCAGCAGCTAGCAAGTGGCAGGTGGGCTCTTTCTAGCTATGGCACTGATTGGCCATGTGGAACCCCTGCGTTAAACTGGGCATGATTCTATTTTGCATGGCTGCACGTACCAGGCACTGAGTCAAGGGAAGGCTGTAGATGGGAGCAAGCTGTGGCCACTGTCCCGGTCACTGAGTTCTGAGCTAGAAACAGCAGGACCTGCTCCAGTCTGTGTGAGCAGGAAAGGGATTTAGCAAAGATATTAGTCAGCTCACAGGCTTTATTGGAAGCCAGAGACATCGACTTGGCTGCCACAGGACAGGTGGGTCCCCCAATCCCCCTGCTGATGGCTGGCTGCAGCCAGACCTCACCGCCACTGCTCACAGTCTCTGCCCTCCACACTACTGAGACCGCAGAAACCCTCGCCCTAGGAGCCACCTCCTCCACCATCACTCCCAGGGGTCTCTGCATGATGCCAGTTTCCATTAACACTCTTTGAGGGGGTCCTGCTTTGTGTATCTGATTGTGGAACTAAGGTCACGTGCCTGTGACAAGAATGTTAGGACACAAAATCCTAGGTATGATGGGACTTGCACTGTGGGAAATTCTTCAAATTTGGTGTTTCAGAAGAGACTGAGGGGCCACCGACCGTGATAAACATGCTCCTCCCTTCCAGGAACTTAGAATCCACAGCAGTTTAAACAAGCAGATGACAGCAGAAGTGTGCAGGAGCCTGTGGTGACCCTGGTGAGTGGGGAGGCAGCCCTGCAAGGAGAGCTAACCCACGTGGCATTGGGAGGTGGCAAGACCGGTTTTAGCGGTGGTAGAGGTTGGCAGAGGGCGAGATGGCTGTGGCCAGCTCTGAAAAGTTTTGAGAGCCAGTTGGCTGCTTCAAGGCCTGAGCTCTCACCTGTGGATGAAGGGAACCCAGGGTGGAATTTTGGGCACTGTAGCAAGCTATGGGGAGATAAAATGGGATAAAATGGTGTTATGGACTGAATTGTGTTCCCCCAAATTCACATGTTGAAGTCCTAACCCCCAGGACCTCAGAATGTGACTGTATTGGAAACAGAGCCTTTAAAGGGGTAATTAAGTTAAAATGAGGCCATTAGGGTGGGCCCTAACCCACTATTACTGGTGTCCTTATAAGAAGAGGAGGTTGGGATAGATGCACACAGAGGAAAGACCCTGTAAAGACACAGGGAGAAGGCGGCCATCTGCAAATCAAGGAGAGACGCCTCAGAAGAAACCAACCCTGCCAACATCTTGATCTCAGACTCCTGGCCTCCAGAATTGTGAGAAAAGTAACTTCTGTTGGTTAAGCTGCCCAGTCTGAGGTATTCTGTTAATGGCAGCCTGAGCTTGCTGCTGCTCCCCAAAGCCTTGCTGAGCATGAAGACAAGCAGGGTTTTTTGGAAGATGGTTGTTTAACAAAGAGAAGGAAGGTTTGCTTGATGCAGCAGGGAGTAAAGACTTAAGATTCAAGAAGAGTTTTAGAAAGTTCAAGCTATTTAAGCGTAAGTGGCTTGTCAAGGGAAAGCCGGCTGTGGAGTGCTGCTTTCTTATTTTACGAAGGGTGGCTCGGGGCTGTCTGCTCTCTCAGAATAGACCCCAAAGGCAGTGCCCTGGTGGGCCTGATGGCCTGACCCACTGAGCTATTCTAATGCCTCCTTGGAGCCCAGCTTCACTACCTGGCTGTGTGATTGGCATCCCTGAGCCTGTTTCTGTGTGAAATCAAGTAAGATAGCATGTCACGTGCCTAGCCATCCACCCAACATGGGAGAAGGCTCAGGAAAGGAGAGTTCTCTGCTTGTTCATGTTAAGGAAAAATGCATTTCAGGGGTGGATATGGCAAGAGTAAACACATAATTGGGGTGGAGTCCCGATTTATGAATAGCTCATAAATCATCTGAAACCAGTTTCCTGTTGATACTCAGCTTTCTGTAAACAGTGTGTCCTTGGCACGTTCTTTCCTAATGATGCCAGATGTGTGGTCGCTCGCTCCTGTATAAGTTTGCTGTGACTTTTCCTGGATGCACTTGCCTCTGAGGACTCCTGCTCATCACAATGGTAGGTAAATAACTGGTTTCATACATAAAGTTCAGAAAAAAAACCAAAAACGAATATACAGTATATTCCTTATGTTAATGTACTGTGATGTGTGTTTCTGCTGGATACAATTTAGTGGTAAATGTGACCTAGTTATGAGTCTTTTAGAGATTACCTGCAATTTAATGTGTGGTGTGTAATGAGAGTCTGGGTGCTTGGGGAACTCTTAAAGAATTTAGCACTATTTCTATTCTCTAAAATCAAAGCTGTGGTTTCTTTCAGGAATTTGGGATTCAATTAGGTTTCATATGTGTCTCTAATTCTTGGGCCCTGAGTGAGTGATTTGTGAAATTAAATATAATTTCAGAACTACAGCATTGCATCATTTTACAGATGAGAAATTGAGCCCGGGAAGGGGAAGAAGCTACCACGGGGGTCTCACCATGAGCCTATGGGGAGTTGAGATGAAAACCCAGGTGTCCCCCTCTCTAGACCAGTAGCCCCCAAACCAGGCTGCACTGTGAAATTACCTGGGGGGCTTTGATAAATACTGATACCTGACTCCCACACCAGCCACTCTGAGATAATTGGTCTGCAGTGTGGCCTTGGGAATTGGGCTTGCAAAAGCTGCCCAGATGATTTTAATGTTCAGCAAAATTTGGGAACCATCACCCTTTTCAGTGTATCATATTGTATTAAGAAAGAATTTTGCATCAAAATCTATAAAAACTCATCTAGGCTTCCTTTCTGTCTTCAATTCAAACTTCATCTTTTAGAAGTATCCTTTGCTAGAGTCAGTGAAAGGGAACGAACCAGGCTGTCCTCGGGATGCAAAGGAGAGGAAGAAGGAAGTGGCCAACGCACAGGGGTAGGCAGGTGAGGTTGGAGGATCCTTGGGAATGAACTCTGGGCCTCCTGAGGCTGGGCCTCAGAACCATCTCAGGAAGACAGCAGTGGGAATAGCAGAAAAACGGTGGCTGGAGTCCTCCTGCTCTCCTTAGACCCTCGTCCAGCCTCAGAGTGAATTGTGTAAGCTGCACACCTGGCAGGACCCCTGCCCTGCTTAAGTTAAGACCCTGGACAATGCCTGACTAGCGGGAAAGACTCAAGGAGCAGCAACTTACCTAAAGGGACACGATCTATAGGGTCACTGCCAGCCTGCGTCACCCCAAGGCTGGTACAAAGCCACACCATCCAGAAAGTGCGACAAATGCCTCCCTCATGGCTGCACTATCTCCTATGCCTGCACATATCAGGTGCTCAACTTCACTGATTGTAGGAGAGGAAGCAAAGGAGAGGGGGAGGAATTGAATATGGGAACAGGAAGGGACCTTAGAGTCTCTCTACTAAGGTGGTCCCCCAGACCAGCAGCACGGGCATCACCTGGGAGCTTGCGAGAAATGCAGACGCTGGAGTCCCACCAAAGCAGAGTCTTCATTTTATTAACAAGATCTCCCGGGGACTCATATCCACATTAAAGCAGCACTGGTTTTGATCACAGTTATTGTGCTGCTCACCTGGGGGAACTAGGTCGAAAAGCAAAAACCTTGGCCTTGTTCTTCTTCAATGAGCTGGAGACTGTGTGTTTGTTATTAGCAGCCTGGTGACTTTGATGCCCACCCAAGTGGGAGAATCCTTCTTTTTACGGGGAGGAAACTGAGGCAGAGAGAGAGAGAGAGAGAGAGAGAGAGAGAGAGAGATTGGAGAAAGAGGAAGGGAAGCACCAATGGCAGGCTATATGTGAGATATTGTCAACTGGTTAATCTTTGGGCTCCATCCCTGAGTCTCTGCTCAGAGCAGCAGGAGATCTGAGAGTTCTGCACCCCTCACTCACCTTGGGCTGCAGCCCTGGCTTGTGCCCACTGTCGCCCTGTTCCATGGCGAGGTGAAACAAAGCCTCCAGAATTCCTGTAATTACCACCGCTCCCTAGCAGCACCCTTTCTGGATGAAAGGAGCGGAAATTCTGTCAACAAGGCTGGGTTTGTTGTGGGGTTTTGCTTTTTGGTTTTTTTTGAGAAAAAATTTAGGTTATACAGAATGATGAAACAGAGAGCTGGTGCAAACTTAAGTTCTGATGTGAGCTAAAGGTATTGAGGTTTTCTGGTAAGAATTGATTTGTTGTTGTTGTTGTTGTTGTTATAAAACCAATGCATTTCATTGTAGACAATTTAGAAAATAAGAGGAAGAGCCCACAGAAAAAAGTTATCATAATCCCACAACTCAAAAATGACTTGTTAAAATTTGGCGCAAAGCTTTTAATCTCTTTGAGCATACTCCTCTATATGTATCTTTTTACATCATAGGAATCACACTGTGCATACTATTTTGTAACCTGTGTTATTCCACTTAATGATACATAGTGATCATTTATGTTATTTCATATTCTCTGACCTCCTCAGTTTATCAGTTTTTATTTTTTCTGAATCACCAGGTTCTCAACTAGCCCTGTTCTTGGGCATTTTGGTTATTTCTATTTCTCTACTGCAGTGAGCATCTTTGGAGGAGAAGCCTATCTCCTTCTCTGTGCTATTCTCCTTAGGATCAAGTCTTAGAACTGAAAAGGTGATGTCAAATGTTGTAAACAACTTTAAGAATTTGGATACAAAATATCAAATTTCCCTCCATAAAGACTGTTCCAACATAAGCCATCCTTGTGCATTTTACTTCCCATATATGCCTCTATTTTCCTCTGAGTATTAGAAATTAAACAATTATTCTTGCCATCCCATTACAGTTCTACTTTATCTACATATTTACATTTATTGTGCTATCAGTAAGTTAAACTTTCTCATGTGTTTGTTCATCATTTCTATTCACGTCTGTGTATGTGTTTGTGAAATGTCCCTTTATTTCCTTTGTCATTTTTTCTACTAGGACGTTTTTCTTTTTCCCATTGATATACAGAAATTCTTTATGTAATGATATTGTTCCCCAAATTGGTAATTGCTTTTTAATTTTGTTTATGGACCTACATAATCAAATTTATTTTTTCTTTTTCTTTTATACTTAGAATAAAATTAATACTTACCTATATTTTCTGTGATTAGTTTATGATCTTTAAAATTTTTTGAAATATAGTTGACATTCAATATTATATTAATTTCAGGTGTACAACATAGTGATTCAACATTTATATACCTTATAATGGGGGCACCACAATAATTCTAGTAACCATCTGTCACTGTACAAAGTTTGTTTACAATCTTATTGTAAAAATTTAACCTTCAAATCCTTTTAGGATTTATTTCTGTGGGAACTAAAGTAGAAAATTAACTTTGTTTCTTCTCAAAATAACCCACCACTTGTTCTAATACCACTTATTGAATAATCATTCTCTACAGATTTCAAAGACTAAGTTTATTTTATAATAAATTTGTATATGTATTTTAAAATACAATTCCTGGGGTTTCTATGTTGTTACCTGTCTTTCTATTCTTATATCAGTAATGCACTACTTCAGGTAGCATCGGTCAAAATTAATTTTAGACATCTTACAGAACAAGTACCCTCACCCCATCTTCTTTTTGAAAAGGTTCCTGGAAATTCCCACATTAAAGTTTGTTTACTTAGCTTGCTTGTCTCAAAATGATGATAAGCGTAACTTGATACATTTTTTTTTGTCCTGCAGATCCAGTATCAGCTAGAGATGAACTGATAACACTCTTGTAGCCATCAATGATGCCTTTGTCATCTGGAAAGTGAAGTTCTTAGCTTCTGTTCTTTCCTTTAAATCATACATACTCTGCAAAGCAGCTAGAAGTCAACATCAACAAGGGTTTCCCAAATGTCCTCTGTAATAAAATTGCACACTGTAATTATTGGCCTACGACCTTTGACTCACATTTAGCTCTTTTTCCAGTTTATTTTAGTAACTTGTCTTATTCCTTTGCTAGATTATGTGAGGGAATAAGCTCCACCTTTAAATCTCCTGTCAGAGCCCAGCAGGGATCCTCGTACAGGCTGCTTTGTCAACGACTGCCACTTGAATTCATCGTTCTCCCTTCTGACCCTTCTCTCCCATTACAGAAAGTTCTTCTGGGCAGCCTGGTGGTTTTGGCTGCCTTCGTGACTGTATGCAGTGCCCAGTGCTATATCATGCCTAAGACAAACTTTCCAGATGATTCCTCTAATGGTAAGCTCTGGTGTCTCAAGTTTATTATTTTATTGCAGCCTGGTAGTTGTAACCTTTGGGCAGATGAAAGCCTTTAAATCTACATGAGAAGGAGGGCTAGGGGAAGATAGAGAAATAGAGTGCAAGGAGGGACTTCAATTTGCCACTTATGTAAGATAGTGGTTCTCACCACAAGCCCTATGAGAATTGCCTGGAGAGCTTTTGAAACCTACCAATGCTCAGGGCCTATCTAAGACAGGTAAATCAGAATCTCTGGGGTAGGAGCTGCACATTTAAAAGCCTTTCCATTGACCTCTTATGTGCAGCCAGAAAATCATCAATTATTCCAAAGCAGTACTTCTCAAACTTTGATGTGCACGTAAGCCCTCTGAGAATCTTGTGAACATACTGGTTCTGATTCTGTGGGCCTGGAGTGAGAGAGAGAGTTGGAGTTGGCACATCCAACACAGCCTCAGGTGGTGCTGATGCTTCTAGTCCCGAAAGCGCAGTTGGACCACCAAGGATTAAAGTAGCGACTCTCACCCTTGGTTGAACATTTGAATCTGTTGGGGAGCTTTCAAAAAACAGGCAGCCTGGGCCCCATGCCAAGGGATTCTGATTTCATTTGTCCTTGGGTAGGACCCAAGCATAGATTAAAAAAAAAATACCCAAGATGTTTTACATGTGCATTTGGGGTTGAGAAGCAAAACAAAGGGAAGTGGAAAAATGAGACCTTTATCCAGAGATAATGCAGCAGAAAAAAACTTGACTCCAAGTACCTCTAGGATCATAAGAGCTATCTGATTAAAAAGGAAGGCCTTATTTTTCCTTGAAATGTCTGTTCTGAAATAAAATCTGGAAGGATTTAAGCTTGCTGTAAGAAAACATCAGTGTCATGAACTGGACAGTACTGGAATTTAGCTGTGGGTGATCACAGAAACACTTTTCTTAGACGACTTCAAAATTGATGAGAGTCTCCTCTGGGAGGGGTGCAGAAGGTAGGGGCTGGCCCGTGTCCTACAAGCCTTGTTCTGGTTGCATGACTTGGGGACTCCACTGACAATGCCACATGTATTATTTTAGAATGCAAGGATGCCAATGGAGTCACACACCCACTGAACTCAAGGTGGAAGACTGAAAACTGTGAGGCGTGTTTTTGTAGCCAAGAAGGAATTGACTGTTGCAGCATGTAAGTCTTCAGCCAGTCGGGCTAAGAGGGGAGGATATTAGGCTGCTATTGGGCTGCTTCCTGAGGTACAGCTACTCCCTCTTTCAAAAGCGCATCCTGAAGAGGGTTTAGTTTTCAGTACTATTTCTTTCTTTTCTTTATTGTGGTAAAATATGTATAATATAAAATTTAGCATTTTAACCATTTTCAGGTGTAAAATTCAGTGGCATTAAGTACATTCACACTTTTGTACACCCATCTCCAGCATCATCTCCATTACTTTTTTTTCTTTCCCAACTGAAACTCCCCACCTAATAAATTCTCCATGTCCTCCTCTCCCCCAGGGTTTGGCGACCACCATTCCATTGTCTCTGTGAATCCAAAACTCTAAGTGAAATTATACAGCATTTGTCCTTTTGTGACCAGCTTCTTTCAGTATACTGTCCTCAAGGATTATCCATGTTGTAGCATGTGTCAGAATTCCCTTTCTTCTTAAGGCTGAATAATGCTCCGTTGCATGTATAGACCACATTTTGTTTATCCATTTATCTGTTGATAGACATTTGGGTTGTTTCCATCTCAGTCTTATTTCTTTTAAGTTGTTTTTGCAACTTGATAAATATCTTTATTATTAAAGACCTACATCCTGATGGGTTGCTGAAGATAGGAAAGGGTACCTAATGGTTTGAAGCTGTTCTAGAAGTTACCTAGTCTTCACTTCTGCCTTGGCCTATGGTGATTTGTAAGAACAGGAGTGAGTCTGAGCACAGGCAGAAGGAATAGGGTGTGAGGGGGAAAGGATGATCTGTACTCTAAACTCTAGTTTCTTCACTGCTTAAGTTTAACTCCAGTCAGCCCAAAATCATACAGATGTTTTCTGCTGGGTTGCTGTGGACGCCAAAGGTCTAGTACTGGGGCCAGTAGAACGAAGTACTTGCAGTATGATCCTAATTTTCTTGTTTTTTTTTCTAGCAGCTATGTCCAGACAGCCACTTTACTCCACCTCCAGTCCCCCCCTCCAGCAAAATCCATTTGATGCTTTCACTTCAGCCTTAGCCTACAGTGTTTTGCAATAACAGGAGTGGCTTTGATGAAAGAAGCATTGGCTAAACACAAAGTAGTGTTTCCTAAATTTGCCTGATTGCAGACTCATCTGGAAAGCTTGATGAAATACAGATTTCTGGGGCCACTCCAGAACCTACTGAATCAGAAGCTATAGGGACCTAAGAAATCTGAATTGTATCAGGTATCTCAGAGAGGCTTAGGACACCACCAGTGAGTAGAGCAGGGAGCACTTGACTTAAATCAGAACAACTGAGTGTTACTGAAGTTTAAGTGTCTGGAAAGTTTAGAACACATTTATTGAGGATACCCCATGCTAAATGCTTTATGGACTAAGAGGGATATCAGATCAGAGACTTTCCGGCTGCCTGAAACAGGTTCCCAGGTATCGCCTTGGGCGGGTCACTGCACATTACAGCTGAATCTTGATTTTGTGACTCTAGAATTTTTATTTATTTATTTATTTTTTTTAGCTGAGCCATCCTGCTACCTATGAGACTCTAGAAATTTGACATTGCATTTGTATCATGTTTCAGTGTGACTCTGGAGTGTGATTGTATCAGCCAAGTTAAGGGCTAGTGAGCCTTTCTTCCCTGACATCACAGCACACTTCCAAAGTGGCCAAAGTTTCCATGTTGTCAGGCTTGACACCCGCCACCTGGTCAGTGCTGCATCATCACAGCCATGTCAGTATGACTTTCTTCTAGGGTTCCCAGGGACGTAGTATAGAAAAGAGTGAAGTGGGAAGAGCCTTGATACTGGAGTCACAGTAATGGAGTCTGAATCTCCATTCCTTGCACAACTGCTATGTGACCATGAATATGTTTCTTAATTTCTCTGAGCCCCAGTTTCCTCACCGTAAAATAGGGATAATCAGGGTATATATGAGAATTAAATGAGATTCTGCATATAAATTCAGTAACTTAACAAATATTGAATGCCTTCTCTATGTCAGTTTTGTGTCCCCTGAGCCTGGGACAGTAGCCAACAACTAGCTGGAGCTCAAGGTACTCCTTCCCTCTTTCCTTCCATGTGCTTATCCCATTTGGCACACTGCCCCACGTAGAGGAAATATGCACATTTCTCCCTCCTGTTCAGAGCCAACTCCTTTCCCCTACAATTGCCTCATAGCCGATCAAGTTTTTCTCATGCTTTTTTTTTTTTTTTTGGTTACAGCAAAATACAGCTTTAGATTAAATTTTCTCTGGGATAATTTTTTGACTCATTTCATTCTCTAAGGGACACTGTCCAGATTTCAAACTGCACAGTGGCCTCCCACTACCCAGGCCCCCCACCCAGGTGCCCTGGGAAAATCTATTTCCAGTCCTCACTTTGGTTACTAGATTACCCTTTGGGAGGAGGACTGAAAAAACTCTTTTGTTAAAATAAGTCAAGGGTCACCTTTCAGAAGGAAATATTGTCATAAAGGGCCCCGTGGATGGCTGCTTCTGTGTACACTTTGGACAGGGGCAGTTTAAACCTGGGATGTCTGAATGGGTTCCAAGAGAGCACTTAGCCCTAACATTGTTTGCTCCCTTGAATGTATGAGTGGGCACTCCTGGGGAAAGTGTCCCCAGTTTTCATCAGTGTTTCCCTGGACTCCGTGAGCCTGGCCTGGAGTGATTCTGCTCCTGTTGGCTGAGCCAGCTCCTACTCTAATAGGTTCCCATGGCAGAGATAAGACAGCTGTTCCCTTTCCACATTCAAGCAGCAGTATTGCTGGCCATTTCCTGAGCAGGGAGGGCAAGAAGTGTCAGGCTGAAACAAGCTGCCTGGCCCCAGAACTTACCTTTGGGCCTCTCAGAGCTTGCTCTTGTCCTGTGCACACAAGATGGAACTCAGGAACAATGTCAGGGATGGTCTAAGTGTCCATAGCCCAGGTTCCATGTGCTTGTGTCCAGGTTCCTGAAGGCAGCACTTAGGGGTTGCAAACCAAGGGGTGACCTTAAATTGGTGAAGGGCATCCTGGACAGTTGGAGTGTGGGCTGCTTTTCAGCACAGAGCTGGCCCCGAGGAGGCTGGGAATCCTATCCTTTCTAACAGGCCTTGCTTTTGTCTCAATGACAGCGTTGCTACACCTGTGAATTATGACACAGTCAAGTGCGAGAAAATCTTCAACAAGGAGACCTGCAGCTATACAGTGGTGGAGCAGAAGGACCCGGAAAAGACTTGTGATGTCGGTGGTTGGATAGTATAATGTGCTTCTAGCATGCCTGGGTCTCCCAGCCAGAGGGGGCCCAGGTCAAGCCTCCTTGTTCTATGGTCTCTAACAGTCTCTGATTGTGTAACCCTTCCTATCAGTAAAACAATAATGAGCAAAGACTTGAATATGTGTATACTTTCAACTTATAAATTATGTATGCATTGATATAATGCACACTATAGAGCATGCAAACATTTAATGGAAGAGAGAAAAAATAAATATGAATAAAAGTTATATTTTTCCCTATACTCCAATAGATCATTATGCATCTCCTACTCAGGCACTGCTGCTTCTAATGTATCTGCACTCTGTTGCCTTGGTGTCCCTCTATCTGGTGAACAATTCAAAAATTAATGTGTCTTCAAAATGAATTCAGATCCGTCATATTCTTGGAGGTTTTATGTTTATCCTTCCTTCCTCTTCTTCAGGGAGCGTCCTCCATGCTGTGTCCCTCATATACCTCTGTATTTGCCTTAGGTTAGAGCAGATTAGAGTGGGATAGCCTGGAAGAAGTAGCTCTGAGACCGACCATATGCAGCTTGATGGGGTATTGAAGGCCAGGGGTTCTGACTTGTGGATAGGGAATGGCTTGGGTGCAGGGCTCCAGTATCAGTTGTTTTTTGCTGCATGCAGACCACCCCAAAACTTGGGGACTTAAAACAGTGACAGTGCTGAACATCTCTTGCTTCTGTGTTACAGAACATTTGTTCACTCAGCAGGTCTTTACTGAGTGTCTCGGCCAGGCAGTGCTCTGGGCCATGGGTACAACAATGAACCAGAGAGACTAGGTTCCTGCTCTCGGGGTCTTGGAGTCAGGTGTGTGTGTATGTGTCACATCACAAATAGTCTTGTGCTGAACAATCCGTTGGCAATTGGTAAAGAGCTTTATTTCTCCCTATCTGTTCAAACATGTTATAGGAGTAGCTGAGCAATCCTAGGCAGGCCCCTTAGCTTTTTGGGGTCATTCTAAGAAATAAAAAAAAAAGTGCTTTGGTCACTTTTAGTGAATCTGCTGAGCTGAGTTGAAAAGGGAATGGGGGTCAGGAAAGTTAAGGGTATGATGCAGCCTTGGCTTCCTCAGCTTGTGGCAGTGGTTAGGGTGATGACTTCCTCGTGGGGCCCTCGTAGGCCTCACCGACATTTCCTACTGCCTGTCTTTCTCCACAGCTCCCCTTCCATCCAAAGGCTATGACACCTTTCTTTGCTTCTGCATCTGAATCTATGTTTCCTGCTGTTCTCAGGTGAGACTGCCTTGTCCCTTGGAGGAGTCACTCTTGGGTGGGATCCATAAAACCCTATTGTGATCATCTCCTTTGTAAATCCTACTTAGGTGGCCCTTCATCTTGCTGGGAAACATGGGGCACAGTTAGCATCGAATATGGGGACCTCTGTCAAAACGGAGACAGAAAGATTCCTATTTTATAACCTGGTCACAAATAAATAAACAACAAAAAACCCCCTCCAATACGGATAATGCCATACTGGGCAGATTGTTGTGAGGAGGTACAGAGTGGTGGAATGCGGAGTGTAGAAAACTGTGCTGTGACATGGTGCAAACAAACATATGCTTTGGAGTCAGATAATGTGGCTTGGAATGTGGACTCTGACATTTACTTATTTATTTATTGAATTAAAAAAATTGTGGTAAAATATACATAGCATAAAATTTACCATTTGTAAATGTACAATTCAATGGTATCAAGTGCATTCACATTGCTGTGTAAACATCACCACCATCCATATCTAGAACTTCCCATCACCCCAAACTGAAACTTTGTACCCATTAAGCAATAATTCCCCTTTCCCAAGTCTGTGGCAACCACCCTTCCATTTTCTTTCTCTATAAAATTGGCTACTCTAGGTACCTCATATAAGTAGACTCATATAGCATTTGTCCTTTTTGTGTCTTCTAACATTTATTTTTGCATCCATACGTTAAGGCTAAATAATATCTACCTTGTGAGGACATTTGGTGTGAGTGAATCACTTAGGATATTCCTCCATACAGAGTTTGCCTTCAACAAATGTTTGTTTCCTTTAATCTGATTTATTCAGTTAGGGCAAAAGGACAGTGACGCAGAGCTCACGAATGAGTGTGCGCCCGCGCCCTGCACCCTCTGGCGGGCAGACAGGGCTTTGGGCTGACACCGAGCGGAGATCTCGCGAGATTATCAGACGTGTGGCGTGAGGCGTGGGAGGAAGGTTGTGCTCTCGCGAGAAATCTGTCTTTGGGCCCTTGGTTTCTGTCTGGTTTGTGTCTGTCCATGGAAGGTCCCCTCGGATTGCCCGGAGTTGCATTTGGAGCTGGTAAGAACGGGCGGGCGCGCCTCCTCCGGAGCCGCGGACTGGTCTGAGGCGCCATGACCGCTTGCCTGACGGGCTTGGACCTGCTATTTGAGGCTGCTTTCTCCTTCGACCCGCCCGGCCCGTGGGCCACCTTCTTCTGCCTACCCTCTCCCCGGCCATCGACACTCTCGGCCAGGGGCCACCCACTCCTGCCTGCCTCCCCCCCACTCCTGCCTGCCTCCCCCCCCACTCCTNCCATTGCTGGCGACTCATGGCAGCCCAGCTCCAGGTCGAGCTGTTGTTCACCATCTTAGCTGTAGAGGGCGCAGCGTCACTGGCCCTCATGTGGGTAATAACCCCCCCCGCCCCCTCCGGTCGTGACAGCTCCTTTTCACAGCGTCTCCTGGAACGAGGAGGGACCCGTTTTCCAGAACGGGCCCAGAGTATATGCATTCCTAGCCTGTTGGGTGGAAACGCTAAGACACTGTTTTTACGGCCTTATGTACCAACGTAGCTTGATTATCTCCTTTTTTACAGATGAGAAGAGCGAGGCTTGCTCATTCATTGATTCATTTCCCCAACAATCATGTAGTCAGTGCCTATATATTCAGGGTGTTGAGGATATACCAATGAAAAAAATGGACACAGTCCTTATTTTCATGGAACTAAATTCGGTGTCAGGGACAATAATTATATAAATGGTCTTACGTGCCATGTGGTATAATGGGGATGATGGCAATCAAGAATGGCAGAAGTCAGACTGCTTAGGGTCTCTGTGACTGCAAAGAGCTTTTTTCACTGGACCGTTTTGTGTTGTTTTCTAATCAGGGTAAGGTACACCATAGCATAACTTTACACTACCTACTTTGTAATTTGGAAATATGGCTGTAGAGACTCTTGAGTTACTTCCTGGGGCGAGGATGGGCAGGTAATCATAGTTGGCTCATTTCTGCAGTGGGGTCCTAGTGGCGGGACATTTTTGAACTTTAAATAATATCAGACCCTTTGAGGAAGACTTAACAACCAGATGCTACAGGGGAGGTGGGCTACATGTATTTTGTGGCTTAGTCAAGTTACTTGGTTTGCACTTTCCAAGGTTTGCTAGCGTGCAGATTTGTGAGATAATATATGTAAAGTCTAGCACAGTAACATTTCTTATGTTTTATTTCTCCTTCCGTGTCTTCTGGGGAACTTTTGTCCTTGGGTCCCTAGGGAAAATCCTAGAGGTTTAAAGTTTTATGATTTTTGTGTCTAAATAAACCTCTACAATTACATTATTAATTTTGGGCAAACAGGTATTTCAAAAATGGAAAAGCATGGAGAGCTGTGTAAGGAAAGGAAGATGTGATTTTCAAAGGAGGAGGAGATATTTTAGAATTACATAGGACTTCCCACCCCACCCCACTTTATTAAATCAGCTTAGCTGTACCAGAATCTCAGGAACCTGTGTAGGGCTTCAGAAAACTGCATGGGATATTCTGACACACATCCTTCCCCCAGCCTCAGAGCCTCTTGGCAAGTGTTTTATAATTTCCCTCATAGAGTAAGTGTGAGCATACTGGAAGACATTCAGAGCCAGTCGTTGTTGCTGTTGATGGACTTTTAAATCTCAGTATCTTATTTCATAGAATTAGGATTTTCTGCTAAGTTTTTGGTGAATCAGTGGCACAAATTCTGTACATGGCTAGTTCACCATTATGTCCTAAGGGATGATCACAGTACATGTCAGCTTAGGTACTCAATAAATACCTGTTGAATGAATACATAAAATCTTAATAATTAAATGTAACAGTTTGGTTCAGTGAAGGAGTGAATAACTTACAAAATAGGTTAAAACTTTTTGCTTGTCTGTTTGGTCATAGATAAGAAGTTAAGTCTTTGAATACTTGGACGATTACACATTTCATAAGAACATAATCTTGGGTATATAGTGACTTATTTTAGCATTATTGCTAGTCTCTCAGGCTTTAGAGGAGGGAAAATATTTTATCAGTTGTTTACTTATGTGGGGAGAACCACAAGATGTTTACCATCTAAAATCAGGGATAAAATGGTATTACTGTGATGGCAGATAAATAACATTTTTCTATCCTTGACTATATTATGGTGAGAAGTTTCAAGTTGAAGATAGGGCAGGGCCTCCGTTCTGAAAGCCTACCAAACTTCTGTGATGTCAGCTGGAATTTCTGTGGCACTGCAAAATCTGAGAAAAAAAATCCAGAGGTGGCTATAAATACAGTACTATTTCCCTTTTAACTGAGAAACGTGCTTGTGCTTGTGGATCTGTTTAGCTGAGCTGTGACGGGTCTAGCGGCAGCAAAGACACATTATCTTGGCATCTATCCTGAAATCATGGTTTCAGTGGCAATACCCTTACCAGTTTTGCCTTGTTGTTTGAAAGAAAACTAAAAGTTATGTTAAAACTAATAGTTATGTTAGAAACATTTCCACGTCTGAAAAACCTTCCTGAATGAATGCAGGCCTTAGTGGGACATCAAGTTGACTATCTGTTTAAAGCAGAACTATACCGTATGTATTGTAGCTGGTCTTAATTTAAGCATTTGTTTATCATTTATTCATCCATTTATGAAGCATGTATTAAGCCTCTGTTGAGTTTAGGGCAGCCACAGCATTGCACAACTCTAGGGACACCTTTCTCTTTGTGTCAATGCAATAGAGCACATGGACTGTGAAAGGGGTTCGTAATGCCAAAATACCAATACCAGGCTGTCTGTTCAGCATTAGGTGTACAAAACCAAATAAGATATGGTCCCCTTTCTTGGGGAGCTCTCAGGCTAAGGAGGCAGACATGTGACAATAAAGGTAACGTGTTACAGGTGTCATGCTGGAAACCTGTGCAGATTGCAGTGGGCCCAGCGGATGCAGCAGCTAACTTGATTGGCCACAACTATTGAGGGACGGGTGCTTGGTCAGTAAAGGCTTAGTAGTGGCTGTGACTTGAGCATAGTCAGAAAAGTGGCAGGTGGGGAGAAAGGAAGGAACTGACACTGCTGGCAGAGAAAGCTGGGAGACCAAGATGGACAAGGTGAACCAAAGTGTGGGCTGTGCACGGGACAGCTGTCTGGCAGATCATGGTATGGTGGCTGCTTTGGGGAGAATGCAGGAGTCAGGCTGAAGCCAGAAAATAGAGACCTTTATGGTCTTTATAAGAAATTTGGACTTCATCCTACTGTAGGCAAGTGTGGAGTCATTGGAGAGTTACTGTTTATGCTCTCTTTAGATGAGATGATCTGCTAGGAAATGGATGGTTCTTTTGTTTCGAGATGGTGTAGAAATCTGGAAGCAGAAGAGAGGTAAAATGCTTTATGAATTTTTCTCCTTTAGAACCTAAACATTTTATAAAGACCCAGGGGCAAATAATGCAGCGTAAGGGTGCCTGCCAAGTGGTCTGAATGCAGAATTCGAATAGATTTTCATGATTTTTCCCAGTTTTTTAATGTTTTTATAATATTTAATAAATCACATCATTATAGCTAAAGCTCGCATAAGCTGACAGAATAAACACTGACTCCCAGTAATTGTGTAACTCAGTGGGAATTCAAGTGAGGGAGAGCTGGAACATTTTGTGTGCTGAAGCTTTGGTCAGGATCTTTTAGCGAGGACATAGTGACCATCCACACAAAGTTTCAGCTGTATTTACATTATGACTGTTTTTTAGTGGCACATAAAAGAGAGATGAAAGTTCTTGGCATCAGTTATATATATATAGATATATTTAAGATTTTATTGGGGAATTGGGGGAGGGGAACAGACAAGTTGCTGTTCTTTTGTTCTTCAGTGTAGTTGTGGAAGATGTCGCTTCACTGGCCCATGTTGGTATTGTGATAATTGTGTTCTTCCCAGGTGAGGCAGTCACTCGCCGGCCATTGGACGGCTGCTCACGCGGCTCACCGCAGCTCACAAAAGCGCATACCAGCTGCCAGCCAGCCCCACTGCAGCCTATACCATTGCTGGCGACTCATGGCAGCCCAGCTCCAGGTCGAGCTGTTGTTCACCATCTTAGCTGTAGAGGGCGCAGCGTCACTGGCCCTCATGTGGGATCCCAACCTGGGGGCCCCTGCTGCTCAGAGCTGGAGTCCCAAGCCAACTCCTACCCAATGCACCACTGGGCCGGCTCCAGTTATATTTAAATAGACTGAAAATCCCTCCTTTCTAGCCATTGACTTAAGGAACAAAGGGCCATAAAATTTTAACTTTCAGAGGTACGGCTAGTGTTTTTTGTATATTCACAAAATGTGTTATCCAGTATTTTGAACTAAGTGAAATTGTTTTCTCATTAGTTTCGGTAATGAATGCCTGAAACTGTACAGGGATCCCAAAAGCTGTACATCACAGATGAAGCAGGTGCCTCCAATAACTGTTCATCTGAAATCTGAAGGGTGCTTAAGTGTGGGTGATGGCCATTAGTGTTACCTCTGTTTTTTGTCACGTGGTTTAGCTTAATTAACTCTTACTATTTACAAAGTAGCTTCATATGCAAAGACAAGAACAAGTATTTTACATTTAAAAAATTAATTAAGGGCCGGCCGAGTGGCGCCATGGTTAAGAACTGGCTTGGGATGCCAGAGGACCCCAGTTCGGGTCCTACATATGAGAGCCAGTGACACTGCCCTCCACAGCTAAAATGCTGAACAACAGCTCAACCTGGAGCTGGGCTGCTGTGAGTCGCGGGCGGTGGCGTAGGCTGCAGCCCCTGCTGCAGTGGGTTGCCATGGGCTACTGTATGTAGCCGGCAGCCACCGTGAGCGCGGCTGTCCAGAAGCCCACGACTGATCTGCCTCGCTGGGGAAGAGCGCAATGATGGTGCCAACTTGGGCCAGTGAAGCAACTTCCTCAGTGAAGAACAAAACGACAGCAACTTGTCCGTTCCCCTTCCCCCAATTCCCCAGCACTGTTCCCATCCCCCCAATTCCCCAATTAAAAAAAATCTTAAAAAAAATTAATTAAAAGGGAATGACAGTGCTGTCTATATTTTGTCTTCTGGTTTGATTGGATACGCA